TTAATACCCAGCTTCTTCTATAATATACTCAGTTCCACAGGAGGCATCCGCTCTACAGCGAAGAAAAGTCGTGCGTAAACCTTTGCCTGCAAGACGTCCGATGGGTCTGAATCTCAAGTATGTAAGTCGCTGTGTTGTCATCACCAAAGGCTCTAAACCATCACAATAGAAAAGATCTAGAAGGCATTGCCTAACCGGTCGTCTCAGCTTGATTCATCCCAAGTTGATGGGTTGCCGCTTATCCACTAGTCACAAGACGTCATTTGTCACAGATAGCACAAGCGTCTGTGCTGACCCCTATGTCGGCAACGTGGGCATGGTAGGAGCCATGTTCGGAGTCAGCGGCATAGGCAGAGCCTCCTTGAGGCTATGTCTTCGCCCTTCTTCGGAATATTGGCTGGGTAGTCCCTGATCCCAGTGAACATGTTTGTTTTCCAAGCACATCCCCACCGGGCTGTGGTGTAAAGGCAGTTTCAACGAGCGATTGTCAGGGGAGGGAGAAGACTCATCTGAAGTTTTCAACATGTAACCAGTGTCACAGCGAGGGGCTGAGTATCATTCCGCAGGAATAATCGCAAAGATAATACATGCCTTGATAAAACAGTAGGCCCACCCGGAAAAGTCAGAGCCGGAACAGACCCCATGGACATCATGGCTTTTATTCAGGCTGATTACAATCAGCCTAGAATTGGCGTTTAGACCGGCTTGACATCCGGACATCAGCTGTACTTCTAAATATCGTCATGCCGGCCCTTCTTCGAGTTGGATCAAGTAGACAATTGTCAACATCATAGTCAACACCACCGATTTCGAATATTGCAAACATGTCGGGTACGAAGAAATCAGAAAGCCCACCCCAACACAGTCCAGCTCCAAAGTCATCTGCAAGAGGGGTAATGAATTGCAAGCCATGCCAGGTTCGCAAAGTAAGTGATCTCCGTACCCGGAATTAAGCATGTTTTCTGATCGACGCTTTGCATATGCGTAGATCAAATGCGACAGAGCGCTACCTGCATGTGGGGTATGCCAACTTTACCAGAGATCATGCTTCTATGGTATGCTGCCTTTGCTCCCCACCCTCTAAACTGGCTACTGAATTGTAAGAAGCTAACTAACTGGGGGTTTAGAGGGTGTTCCGAAGAAGCGCGGACCGAAGAAAGAATCGATCAGTGCTTTGATAAAACGAATTGATGGACTCGAGGAACTTCTCAAGTCAGAGAAAACACCTACTCCACCTGGGTCTGACGTAGTCGCCACTGAACTTAACGGAAGTCATGCTCATAGCAATGGGAATTGCGAAACCTGCGGGTCTGCATCGTCAGATCTGTCGCCTTTCAGCGCATTCCACGAAGGAGGTTTTGCAGCGAATTCGTACGTGCTACACAACAGATGCTGCGTTTAGCGCATGGTCTTCTCGCTAACGTAGTATTAGGGACTTCCCCTCGGTCATCAACGCAGAGGGTTTGATTGACATTTACTTCAAATACTTCCATCGAAACCCATATGAGATCTTGGATGAAGAGATTACCAGGCACAAGTTGAGAAACAACCAGCTTCCCAAGTCAATACTGTACGCTGTCTGTGCTCTAGCCACACGGTATGTTCTCCACCAGTGGTCAAGAACCAAGGCAAAATTAACAACATATTAGGTATTCAGAGCAGCCGGGCAAGGGACCAAGCAGCCATGTTTCTGCAGAGACCTATGTCTCTTGGGCTCAGAAAGAAATCGAAGTCGCAGGCAATTCGGTCGAAATTTGCCAAGCGCTTCTTTTGTTAGTGACAGCCTTCGTGGCAATGGGTGATGGAAAGAAGGCGTACAGCACTCTGTGTAAGTCCAATGACTACCAGAAACGACTGATCGTACTTGAGCGCTAACAGATTGAACTAGCCCAGGCAGTTGGATCAGCTATGGCTTTGGAGCTATATCAATGCTCCGACGAAAGTAACGATAACATCCGAGCCGAAAATCTGATGAGAAGGCGACTTCTCTGGACCTGCTATGTCATGAACGTATTTGTATCGACCTGGCTAGAGCGACCTTCACTGATCGATGATGCTATCGTCAAAACAACCATCCCGTCTCCTCAACAATCTCAATCAGGCTGGCAGTCGAAAAATGACTACTCCGCAGGAGCGGATTCTGAACAAGCTTGCGAAGATACGAGAGACCCGGACTATGGACTTCAGAAGCTTGTTTGGGTTGCGTACATTCTTTCAGACGCCAACAGATACCTGCTTGTCACTGAACCCACTACGCAGGAGGCATATGGTCATCGACACAAGATTCGTCGTGACCTCGATCTTTGGGCAGCTGACATCAGTCGCACTCCGGACCATCCAAGCCAACTATTTGATGGTCCGGAGGCCAATGTTTTACTCGAATGTCGGATCATTTACCACTTGATCCACTGCCTCATTTACCGCCCGCTTTTACCGTTGCATCTTGGTGAGCCTGCAGGAGCAATGATGATACAACACTGGGTAGCCGAAGCAGCGGAGATTGGGTTCCGTCATGCAACGGCAATTCTTGAGCTCGTTGACCAGACTCTTCAGACGAAGCCTCACCACCTGCCGCCTTTCATATCATATTGCATCTTCACAGCTGGAACCATTCACGCTCACGGTGTACAATACGCCAACGACCACAAGAACCATGGCCTGGGAATCGGACTTAACTCTTTTAACAGTTCTCCGTTGGCAGCAGAATCGTTCGCCGGCTCCTCTGAACTTCTCAATCAGGGCATACAGCAGCTTTCCGCCATTGGCAACGATTTCGAATCTGCTCGGTTGTTCAAGCAGAGACTCGACGAGCTTGTAAAGGAGCACATTAGCCTATCAAGCAAGAATGTTGCTGGATATGTGCACTCTCGATCGAACAAGTTCTTCCACCGATACTCTGTCGAGCTCCGACAGAAAGTCCAAGGCCTCCATGCGACCGAGGTACCTCCTACTCCAACGCACTTGCAGCCGCCGGAATCTCCGGAAGACAATATAGGAAAGATGGGATTCCCGGCAGTGACGTGGAGTACGAGTCAAAATCATGGTGGCGCCAAGATTCCTTTCGCGCCGTCTAGGCTGAGCATCGGACATCCAGCAGCCAACAACCTTGGCCATTCCAGATCGTTTTCAGACACCACGTCTTTGAATCCATCTTACTCATTTGGAGGGACCAATCAATTTTCACAGAGGCCACTCCCAGTATGGCAAGGCTTTCAAGATGCTACACCGAGACAGATCATAACCCAAGACACTCCAATGCTGGACCCCTCATCACAGCTAACGTCCCCTATTCAGCAACAGGAGCAGGCAGCGGCCGCGAGCCAAGGCGATTGGGGTGGTGTGAAGAATTTTGCCGGCGGCGAGTCAATGGGCTATGAGGTTCTTCCAGGCTCAATTACAGCAGGCGTTCCCGCGTGCCAGACAGGAGAAGAGTTACAGGGCTCGTTTGTACAATTTCAGAACTTCGCTGTATTGTAGTTTTATCAACCCAAAACATTCGCAGTTTCCCAACTTCGGCCGAAAGTGCTTATATGTGTGAGACACAGTCTGTGAATTAATCAATCTGGCGGGCTTCGGAACCAGCACGAAACATGCTCTTTTCACACTCATTTGCTACACGACCACAAAGTCCGGTCATTTTCGTTCCACCTGTTCCACACGTTCCACCTGCCGGTTTTCCTAACAATTGTAACATTGGGTTCTTTTACCATGGCTTTATTCCGATCAATAGTTGATATTACAAACCATATATTCGTTCCGAGTTAGTTGCCCTGTCCTAGTGTGTGGTTCATCAGGAGATAGTGCAATTCAACCCGCCTTGTTACTCCACTTGTCCACACCCAGTATCAAGTTGATGTCATTAATATCGACCACCTATTAAGATGAACCGACTACTCGAGCCTTGTAATATCAGAAGATGGATAGTCGCTGTTGAATGATCCGTGGAATAATGAATGCAAAAACTTTTTTACCTAGCTAGAAAACTCCGGATTGTAGGTAACAGTACGGAAATTACCTTCCTCTTGCTTTCATAGCATAATTCAATCTTCCTTCAAAGTGAGACAAAGCTAGCATTGGACTTTTCCTATTCAGGCAAAATATATCTTGGTGCCTACTTGTCATAGATATAATTTAGTGGAAGTGATTGGATTCTTACGAACTCGAAGAGACGCGCAGGAGGGAGTAATCTTTCTGAAGGGCTTTGGAGTAATAGTTCAGTATTAAACCGCTCGATACGACCCAGGTGAAAGTTTTTCCAAGGTTCATGGTGTTGAAGTTATAGATTATGCATCTGTTGCATTACAAAAGCATGCGTATACAAGTCATCTCAAGGGGACACACGGGAGATGAGCATCCTAAGGATACAAGTTTGTGAGATGAATTAATCTCTGTGAGAGCGAAGAACTAGCAAGTCCCTTACTGTCGGGATATTCAACTGTTCAATGGTGGAGCCGATCCATGGTCACGTGATTTACCATCACGTGACTCACCTCGGCGGCTCACTTACACCACCACGAATATCCGCGGCAACAACTTCTTCTTCTTTTTCAATCCATCTCAACAGGCAACTAGTAGTCAATCGAACTGTTACTGCTTTACGATCGCGATCCCTGTGATACCAACACTTACCTTAGGTTTCCAAGACAAGGTAAGGATGGGTGTAGACCATCTTTGATACTGATGGAGTACGGATTCCAGGCCTATGTAGGTCACAAGGACATTGGAATCGAAAAGTTTTTTTATCCCCAAGTTGGAGAAAGAATGTCTATATATAATTTACCAGCTTTTGCTGTCAAGCAAATTGATAACCATCGTCGACGAGATGGTAGGTACATAACCACATGTTCGTTTCTGACGACAAGCAGGAAATATAATGATTCCAAACATACCAAGTACAAATGTAGGAATACATCTACTTAGTGCTCAGGAGCTTGCATACAGGTGCCAGAAAGCTGTTGTCCCAACCGAATAATGACTTACATCGCTGATATCAGAGCTTGTTACATGTCTCCAAGCTCTCTAGTCTGAATCCTGGCCTTTTCAGCAATTTCATGCGCGGTCTCCAGCCTCTCGATGATTCTATCAAAGTGCGCACGATTTGCCAAAATCTCATCATCCTCTCGCGCCATCTTTTGAACATCTTCTTCACTCAGAGTGAACACCCAGTCAGTTGACAGGCCCATGAGGGCGCCCCCCGAGTAGGATACGAAATCTTCGGCAATGTCATTGATGACATATCTGATGAACGCCTCGAGGGATAACTAAACATTGTGTTAACGGTTAATAGAAACTTTAAAGTTCTTGGGGAAGTGACATACGTCGTAGTATACTTTAACGACATCATGCACGTCGTGGATCATGTTGCCTTCGATGGAGTGGTGGAAATGCTGGAACAACAGCTTCGAGTGTGCCAAGTCGAAGGAGCCCGATTTGAAGCTTGGAATGGACCCAAGAGCCCCGAGAAGTCGAACAGTGCGCAGCGCTTGCAACCTTTCCTGGAAACGCGGATCGGTTGTCTGCAGATGAGATTCTCGCTCTCGGCGGCAGTGCTCTTTGAGCTCTCGAATTGCCTTCATTCTAGCTTGTTCCTGAAGTTGAGAAAGAACCCTGGAAAGCTCCCCATAAAGAATGCTGGAGCAGCTACGAGGTGAGCAAACATCTTTGAGAATCTCATTCGATGCGTACTCAATGTCGGTCGCAATGGTATCAATGTAGCGTTCTGCAACTTGCTGCCAACTCTCTGACTGTTTCTTGAAGAGAATCTTGATGACGTCTGTATTGACAAGGCCCGGTAGCTCAGTTGTCTGCCAAATGCGAAGCTGGTCGCGAATAACCTCCACAAGTGGTGTACGTAGCTGGGGGGCCGCTGTCGGTTTCTTACGACTGGCGTGGCGCTTTGTGGGCGGGGTCAAAGGTAGTGTAGTGATTTGCTCTTGGTCGCCATGCTCGGTGGTGTTGGGTGCAGGCGCATGTCCTGCCAACATAGCTGAGTAATAGGACACAGCCTCGGTGAGTTGGGTCATTGGGTCAACACTCGTATCCTCGAACAAGTGGGTGTGGCCGCGGGCTTGCATCTCTTCAGTGAAGCTTTCGTTCGCCTCTCGCACTAGTCCCCTGACGCGAAGGGCTGGATCAGACAATGATCCAGGGCTTTTGAGCGTTTTGACTGCTATTGTGTGATATCTTTCAATCACACTCCTGATGTATTGCTGGCGAAGACTGTGAGTTGGGCGAGGGTCTCCCAGTTCCTTCCTGGACTCTTCGGCTTCCGAAAGAAGCCTTCGAACAGATTCCTGGATAGCAGGGAAATTGCCGCGGATCTGGGCACAGAGAATATTTCCGAGATGTTTCTGTAGCATACTTGAGCCGCGTCGACTTTCTCGTATCTTATCCCAAGGTGGCTGGGAGAAGAGTTTACGTTCGGCTTCTTTGATGTCGAAGTCATCGCCATCAACTTCAGACCGGTTTCGTACTACAAACCACCCATCCTGCATTGAATTTCCTGAATCTTTTCCTCGTCCGCTGGCAATTTCAATCACCTTCAATATGTCAGCATCTATTCATGGCATGGTATGGCTTTTGTACCTCAGTTGGATTCTCCAACCTGTCACACTTGGTAAAGACGCCCACAAGACGTCTTTTGTCAACCAAATTAGCAGCCATCTTGAAAATTCCTTGGGTAGAAAGATGTGCAGTAGCGGCGGCCACACAACTGCATTCCATTAGAATAAGAGAAATAACCTCAATGTATCTCGAATCGTAGGGTTACTCACATGACAATGTTAGCTGGTTGTCTCATGTATTCCTCGACCATTAGTTTCACGCCATCTTCTTCATGCTCATTGACGTCGTGAGCGTATGAAAATATGCCTGGGACATCAAGAATACTGAAATGTGAGCGCGTCGGGCCTGAGAGTTCGACTCGAAGGACCTGGGTCGCGAAGTTCTTCGCGTGAACCCCTTGGCCTCTTCTGATGCCCATGTATTTGGTAGATATCTGAGGATCTTGTAAGACATTGAAGCTGGCGATTGGAAGTTTAGAGAAAAGAAAATGTACCTCGTCCATGATTTCTTTGAAGTCGTCAACCCCCAAGTGGTCGCTGGTATAAAGGTAGTCCTTGTAAGAGTCGTTGAATGGGTAGTCAAAGACATCAGTTACCTCAGGATCGACAATCGTGATCTTGACGGCATTTTTACTGCCAGGAGCTGTTCTTCGAGATACAATCCGTGTAGCAAAGCGAGTACAGCAACCACTATCGACTGGAAACGGGATGTCGGTTAGGCTTTGCAGCAGCGAGGATTTGCCAGTAGATTGACCCCTAACAATGACTAACTGCATTGAGATATTGTTAGATAAAGATATGTTGTGAGGGGGCCTGTGTGCTGGGAGGTCACGTGACCTCCTGGGCCCCTCACCTTTATCTAGCCTCTGCCTATGGGCTTAAGAGGAGGATTTCCTCCTCACTACTACACACTACTACAGATTACTATAATACTATTGCTATTATGCCTTACTTTGTTACTCTTATGCTCCTATAGGTTATAGAGCCTAGGCCTATATTAATTTTTCTTTTAAATTAATTAGTTACCTCTACTTATCTTTATTAATTTATAATTATTTACTAATTATTATAGTAGTCACTTAACTTTACTTACTGTTTTTACTATAGCCTAAGCTAAGGATCCTTTACTAACTACTATAGGGATACCTTTACTTATTAACTACCTTAATCTATTACTTTAGGTATCTATTAAATAGTAGTAAATTACGTAACGTTTTAGATATGCCTTCTACTATAGTAAAAAAATTATATAAAGATTAATATATAGTTAGGCTAACTATAGTCTAAAGTGACTTACCTATATTACTATTATTATAGCTAATAGTAGTAATTACTAAATAGTTTTATTAACTATCCCTAGGCTTAAGGGGGAGTTAAACTAGTCCTTATAGATTATACTTATTAGTACTACCCTTTATACTAATAAAGTTAAGAAGTATATTAACTATAATATCCTTTAACTAGCTAAAAACACTATAGCTTTTACCTTATAAAAAGCTAACTATAATATTATATATAACCTTTTTATTTTATTATATAATATATTAATTAATAAGCTCCTTAACATAAGATAGTAAGATAATAGTAATCCTTACACCTTAATAAAGGCACTTAAGAAATATATTCCTAAAGTATCTAAAGATATAGTTAGAGCCCTTATTAATAAATTCTCTAAGGGTAGTACTTAAGATTATAAGACTTTTTATAATACCCTTAAACGTATATAGTATTTATATACCTATATTACTAGCCTTTATAGTAAAAACTCTAACTACTATTAGGCTATCCTCTTACTTAATTATTTTAAGATATATCTACTTAATATATATAAGCACTATACTAATAATAATAAAAAGCCTAAGTAGGCTATAGTTATTAAGACTATCTATATACTTACTTAAGATAAGAAGTAAAAAATAAGCCTTATAGCCTACTATAAAGTAGCTACTATAGTTACTATTACCTCTAGTATTAATAGCTAAGGCGCTACTCTTACTAAGAAGTTAGGCTATAATATTTATCCTTATTATAAAAAGGGTTATATTACTATAAAGTGTTAGACTACTTATCTAGAGCTTATTCCTATTAACTATACGTTTTATAATAATCTACTTACTTATATAGCTAAGTACGTCTATAATAAGGATTATAAGGAGGCTACTACCTTTATTACACCTAATTCTTTTATATTAGTTTTTATAAAAGGTGCCTTAGGCGCACTAGGCAGCTTTTTAATTACTAGCCTTATAATATAACTAAGTAAGGCTATTTTTACTACTATAAGTAATAAAGTTATTACCTTATTTAATATTATACTAGATTTAGGCTACTTAAGCCCTATTTTTAACTTACTTTAACTTTTTATATTATATACTGTCTGTAATAACCTTTTTCTTTTTACTATTATAAATAGAGAGTAAGTGTATCTAGAGGGATCTAGTACTATCTTCTTTTAAACTTAAGATCTAGCTAATCTATCTTAAATAATTAACTAGACTATTAAAGATATTAAGTATAGCCCTTATAGCCTAGCTAACCTTTTTAGCCTTAGTAAGCTTTATAAGGTAGGAATTAAGTATAACTATATAATAACTAGTATTATTAACACTAAATCTAAGGCCTAATTAGCTGCTATTAAATAGATTTCTAATATTTATATACTTTATATTATAGATAGGCTAACTATACTTATAGTAACTACTTTTACTTTATCTATAGTTAGAGGTAAGTGCTAGCTAACCTTTAAGATAATACACTATTAGCTTATTTATACTTATCTATTATAAGTTATTAAGGCCTACTATTAAGTAGGTATATAATTTACCTAGGCTAAGATTAATACCTTTTACTATAAGGCCTACTACTTAGCTAAATCTATAGAGCTTATTAGCTGTAACACTTTACTACCTCTTACCTTAGTAGGTAAAGAGATTTATTTTAACCTTATTAAGGTTAAACTGCTATTAAAGACTAGTATAAGATACGCCCTTTATTTTCTTAACTATTATAGTAGCTACTATTAGCTTTAACTCTTATAAGCTTATTACTATAAGGTTATACTTAATACTATTAAGAATTTTAATACTACTTTTACTAATATAACTAGCCTTACTATTAAGAGCTAGGTTTTTAATAACGCGCCTAAGCTAAAAAAGGTGCTTTATAATCCCTACTTTATAGGTATAAGGCTTAACTTTATAATTATATATACCCTATTAATAAATAGGTTAATTAAGTAAGCTAGTTATATACTTATAGAGGCTGCCTATATGTTACTTATTAATAATAGCCTTCTAGAGGAGCTTTAGGATTATACCCTTAACACTATAGTATAAATCCTTAACCTTTTACCTTAATTTACTAAGGGTAAAATAAGCCCCTATAAGATTATTACTTATAAGCTTAACCTTATTATAGATTATAAGCCTCCTTATATTAAACATATTATAAGATAAAGTAGTAAGTACCTATAGTTAGGAGACAGATAGATAGTAAGGACTAAATACCTAATATATATATAATACGTTACGTATGCCCTAGGTATATATCCCTTTAGTAAGTAACCTTTTATAAAAAGAGGGTTAACTATAAATACACCTACTATCTGTTACTTATTTTATTTTATATTATTTATTTAGCTCCTTATTATTATTTATCTTACTTTACTACTTTACTATTACGCTTTACTTTTATACTATATTACTTTATAATATTACTATAGCCTAGCTTTATCCTATTAGAACTATAATAGCTACTAGGAAGGCTATATTAAGTAGTAGTATAACTATCTTAATTTATACTATTTTATTACTCTTACTATCTTTATTATTTTTATTAAGTTTTTTTTTACTACTATATAGTAAAGAAATATATACACCTTAATAAAAGTAAAGGGCTTAAAGATATAGTATACTAAGAACGCTTTAACTTAAATAAATCTTTAACCTTAGGTAATTCTATATATAGCTTTAGAAAAACCTAACCTATAAGGTTACTTAGTAACTACCTTAAAGTCTTTATAATAATATATAATCCCTTATAACTATAGAATTTAATAAGGATATACTATACTACTTTAGTAATAACTAGTAATAAGGCTTTTAGTTAGACGTTAGCTAGGCTAATAACCCCTTTTAGATTAAAGACACCCTTTATATAGTAAAAAAGATTGTTAGAGATATAAGAATTAACTTACTACTCTTATTAAGACTATATAATAAAGTAGAAGATATCTAACTATTTTATAGTAACTTATAAAGCTTTTAGTTATTTAAAAACCTAGTTACACTAAAAAAAAACCTAACTAAGTAGATACTACTTACCCCTTAAAAAAAGCCTCCTTAATAACTACCCCTAAATAAAGATATTATAATAGGTAATACACCTAAATAAGAGGGAAGTATCTTTTTAGACTTATTATCCTTAAGGTAAGTAGAAGCTACTATAATAATATAGTCTAAGTTAAAAAGTAAAAAATAAGAAATTATAAGCTTACTAGGCTATAATACTATCCTACTAGTAGGCCTACTTAGACTATAGTTTTTTATTATACTAAGCTAATTCCTAAATAGTATAAGTTACTATACTTAAGGCTAATAAAAATAAGATATATACCTACTCTTAAGGCAGACGTAATACTTACTACCTTTAGCCTAAGGTTAAGTAAGAAATATAATTCCCTTAAGTTAGTACCTTAGTAAGGAGGCTAGCGCTATAACTATAGCTACCTAATTAATAAAGTTAGAGTTAATAATAAGATAATTATAAAAATACTAAGACCTAAGGAGTATAGCTTAGTTATAAAATAACCTTAGCTAGTAAAAGTAGTAAAAAAGCCTATAGTTAACTATAGCTATACTACCTCTACTAGTATTAAATATAAAAAAGCTTATAATAGCTTTTCTTTATACTATAACTACCTAGATATAAGTAGTAGTAGTACTAGTAACTACTATAGCTACCTTAGGTTATTCTTTAGCCTAGCTATAGACGTTATTTACTATAAGAATCTTTTAGCCTAATACTAATATTAAGAGGAATTTACTAGACTTTATTTTTTATAACTACCTTATAACGTATTACTATAATATAAAGCTTTAGATCTAGGTAGTTAAGGTAACCTATATAAATCTCTTATCTTTATAGTACTTCTATTAGATAATAAACTAGTACCTTTATAAATAAGTATAAAACTAATAGGAATTTTAACTTACTAATATAAAGTAAAATATCTTTAAGTAAGAAGGTTAGCTAGTAATCTTAAAGTAATTTAGGTACTACTTTAGACTAACTTTAGTTAAAGTAGAAAAGTAGTTCTATAAAAATTACTTTACTACTAATAAGATTAATAAGTAGTATAATATTTATACTTTTACTTAATTCTACTTTAAGTATACTAAAGTATAAGGTAACTAGACCTAATACTAATAGCTAATAAGGTTTTATAATAACCTTATACTATAGCTATAGTAATTCCTTTATAAGCCTAAAGATTATAACTCCTTAAATAAGTATATTACTTTTACTAAGGAAAAATATTAAGCCTTTTAAGACGCTACCTTACTATTATAAAGCACCTCTATATACACTAATAATATAAGTACTTAAAGTAGTATAAATAATAATATAGCGCTATAAAGAAGTGTATTAAAATAACTAGAAAACTACTACCTTTAAGATAAGGACCCCTTAGAGACTAATTAAGAAGATATAGCTCTATAGGGATCTAATAATAATAACTAGTAATAATAAAATAACTACTAGTATAAAGGAAACT